CTCTCTGGCTAGTTTTTAAATGACAAGCTATTCACACCATAATAATCTTTCATTTCCAACACGGGTCACACGATTTTAATGAATAGAAACCTGATCAAAAGACAAACTGAAGCTTCAAAGACCTTTTCGTTTTCATATTTTCTTTTTCATGAAAAAGCCACACGATAGGAACAGACATGGCTAAGTCCTTCAGGCCAATTCCAGGATGGGCCACGGCCCACAGCAGCGTGAGGCCATCAGCGTACCGCCCCTTCCAGGGCCTCAGTGCCGGGACAACCAGGTCCACGTTCACAGCCCAGAGATGGCGCCGCACGGTCAGTGCTCTCTGAACACTGCTGTGGTAAGAACCCTTTTAATGCTAGTTATATTTATTGTCTTCCAAAAACCAGTAAGAGGGTTCCAGGTAAATGTTGTTCATTGTACTTCAATATACAAAATTCGTAAGTTTAATGAAGTCGACAAAAGTAAAGCATTACCAGCCGCTACCTGACAACTTACAGGCCAGTGCGCCGCCGGCCTATCAGCCTCACGTTTCAGGCAACAGCATTTCACTCGGGAATATTCCCAACAATTATGCGGGTCTCAACTTCTCGGATGCCGGTTCCCACGCCCGCTCTGGGGTCTGTAGAACTTCCTTTCCTTCCAAACTTCCTTTCCTCAAGCAGTGCGCTCTCTTCAGCTCCATGGACCACTGCCCTCCCTCTCTCTAATGAGGTGTGCTAGGTGACGCGCAGGTTTCTACCCAGTCCTAAGCAGGACTCTGTGGTTTAGGAAGGAACGAGGCACAGGACACACGGAGGACTGCCGGGTTCTCCTGACGCGGCGCACCGCACCGACCATTTCTAACTTTGCTGTTTGCCTTTGCTTTCGGAAACTGTGCTAGACAACCTGAAAGGACATAAAATCTTGTGAATCTTTTTAAGAAACAGCCTGCTCCATGGATGCAATAAATTGTCCACGCCAGTGCAGTTCCTTTTTTAAAGAACCACAGGCCACAGTAAAGTCATTTTGACAATTTAGAGCCTTATTTTCTTGACATTTGTTGAAAAGTGGATCCACTGCAAAAATTATACTTTTTACTTCAGTCTTCCTGATGACCCTGTCTATTGTAAGGTTTTTCAAAGGAGTCCAGTTGTTCATCATAATCTGAATGTAACCTGTACTATATTTTATTTACAGTGGCCATCTCACACACATTTATTTCTTTCAGTCTCTGAGAAGCACAGAAAATTATCCCACAAATTTAAAATAGGAGGAAGCACTTAACAGACAAATTTCTACTTAGAATTCTTTTATAAAACTTTGCATAATTCTTAACTCAAACATTTACTGTCTACTCTAGTTCAGGTGCTCTTATAACATCTTTCTGTTGTCCACATTAATTCTTTCCAGGAACCTTGCAACTGTTTTCAAAATTCATAAAATCTTCTTTTTCCTTTGTACATAGGAAGTTGGAAATAATGTCTTCGTTCTCCAATTAAAGGGAGCATTTTCTCCTACTTCATTTCTATTTCCCTACATAATCACTCACATGTCCCACCCGCTGTTTCCCAAAAATACTGTATTTCAAAAGAGGAAGTTGTCCAACTCAAGGAACTTAAGGAACTCAAGGACTGTGGTCAGAATTCTGGACAGACCCGCAATTTTCAGGAGACCCAAGAGGTGTGGGCCTAGCAGGATAAGGGCAAGAAGGTCAGTGAGACCCCGGCCAGGCACAGAGGAGGATGAGGGGGGAAAACACATCACTTGCGGCACAGGCACCTGACAGCAGTGATGGCCTGTAACCTCGAGCGGAGGAGGTAGAAACTTGACAAGAGTCGAGTCCGACAAGCCTGACCCTTTCGGGGGAAGAAGAGGCTTCAAGGTGAGAGTAGCAGCACTGGCTGGAGAAGCAGCTGTCCTGCCAGCTTCAGGGCAGAGGTCAAGACATTGCCAATGCTCATCTTCTTGCAGTATCCTGGACAGCACATTCCAGGACGGCAGGGCTGGTCCTTCACTGGGCCCTGTCATTTGGGATATGTGCATTTGAGGAACTTATGGTTGATTCATTGTGTCAATCTGAGAAGCTGAGAAGCTTAACTAAGTAACTCAGCAGTTCTACATCCTAGGGTGCAGAGGAAACATCCTAGGGCAGCTGTTTAGGCTCCAGGATATGTTGATGGTTGATCCATTGGGTCAATTTGAGAAATTCAGAAGTTTAATTAAAAGACTCAGCAGGGGGCCAGGGTCCTCACTCTGTAAACATTCTTGGCCTGTGCAAGAGGAGGGTGCTTGATAGGAAACCACCGAAGAGTAAAGGGCTTCTGGGATGTGGGAAAAGAGAAGGGAAAGAAGGAGAAATTTTGTATGTATGTATATACAGGATAGATAACATGGTTGTTCTTCTATCTGCTGTTTCTATGCTGAAAGAAACTGTCAATGAGTCTTTGGTTGACCAGTATTGCATGTCTATATCTGTTTTCATGAGAAGCCACTTAGAAGATATCAATATGTAATACAACCACCATTGTTAATTCCCTACCACTTTGTTTGGAACTCTGTATTGTCTGTATTGTGCTTGTGATATGTTGTAAAATGTTGTATGTCTGTTAATGTTTCCCTCCTTTTATCCTTAAAATAAAAAAAATTAAAAAAAATAAATAAATAAAGAGGAGGGCGCAGACAGGCATGGAGATGGTGTGAGCGCTACACCCACCCTAGGGCAGGTAGCCTGCTTATAATATAAGCGAGGAAAAGAGGCTTGCCCCCTCTCCTTTGCTCTTATTGCTTTTGCTGTCTTCTGCCGCCATGAACTACTGCCCCCCTACCATGCCACCCTGCCTTGGAGCCAACTGATTATGGACTGAAACCTCTGAACTAAATAAACCTTTCCTTCCTTTTTTTTGGGTGTCGGGAATTTTGTCTCAGCAATGAGAGAAAAGTAAGATAGGGCAAAGGTACACAGGGAGAAGGAGAAACTTCTTTTAAGAATATAGGAGTTGAAAACTGAAATTTAGACAAGTTATGCAATACTTGCATCCTTTCTCCCCTGGAAGTGCTATAAGTTCTTGCTTATACTTGTTCTGTTCCAACCACAGAGACAGAACTCACAGTTGCTAAGCTGTAGCTCCTGGTAGGGTTATTTCTATAGGCCCCGCTTCTGATTTTTAATTTTAAATGCACAACATTTTTGTCTTTATAATCGTGCACAGTTTTAACAAAAGAAACTCCATGTGCCAAATCTCTTCCCATTATAATTTGTGGAGAGGGATTTTGATTACTAATACCATGTGATTATATGAATGCATGAGAAAGCTGAAATATTTTTCCTTTAGAATATCCAGGATAACCACTTTCCCACATACATGAGAACTGTAAGTGACTTTCATCTCAACTGAGTTTATACATCAGTGTGAATACAGCTTCACTTACAGAAAAACCAAAAGTCTCTCCAAATGAAATTTTCCTCATATGTATTACAGAATGAAGGATATAGATATATATATTAATATATAATTTCCACAGTTCTTATATCACTGTAAGTAAATAAATACTCCAATCTAACCAAAATAGGAACATTAGTCTCTTTCACAAATAAATGTTTTCAATTTTAATGCCCCATCATTACTTTGTATGATTTGACCATGTAAGTGGCAGATTAAAAAGTCTTTTTAAAAAGTGTGATTAATGAGAGTTCTGTGAAGTCTGATAGCTGACAGAAAGTAGAGTGAGGTCTCTACAGCCACCCAAAGTGAGGAAACCCCATTCCCTTCTCATGGTTAATTCTGAGTTTCCTGAAGGCTTTATGATTTTTCAGGTAGTCATTTGTTTTTGTTTACCTAAAAAAAATCAGGAGAGCTCTCAGTCTAGAGGGGGAAAATGGTCAGTTCAAGGAAGAAACACTGGAAAATCCTAGTTTAGATTCTGACCTCTAAGAATCTCAGAACCCTGCCCAGAAACACGGACGATCTGTAAAATCTCTCAGTAACTGTAAACGTCATTTGCAATTCCTCCAAAAAATGAACCAGATGCATCCACAGTTACCATTCACAGAACTAAAAATACACCAATGTTTTAAGAAACAGCTTTTTATGATTCTTAGCTCTGGGTAACATTTTTAGGTCTCATGACATGCATTTAACTTTGAACTGAAATGAAGCTATCTTATCCAAGATCTTTTCACAATTTCTTATGTCCTTCAGCCTGAGAAAACAATTCTGACAGAAGAATTAGAAGAGTCACAGTCTACATGTTCTATAACAATGCAGATGAAGTGAGAATATGACTCCCCTCTCTCTGCTCAGCAGCAAGCACGCTGAAAAAGCCTACCTGCCTCCAACTTCCCCAAGATGAAAAAATCACATCAGACAGGAAACACCTTCTTTGGGCCGGTGACAGGTGGAGAACAAACTCCTCAGTCAGCCTTTATTTTCAGGGTGGCCAGGCATGCTCTGTGACAGAGGGGACAACTCTTCCTTTTCACTGAAGTGACACACGTCGTACTACGCCTTCATCTGCACAACTCCCAGCAGAAAAGCTCCCACACAACAGAACTACCTGCCTGGTCTGAGCACCGTGGCTTTTCTTTGGAGAAAAACATCTGCGCTGAGGCGCGGAGACAATGAGGAGGATGAGTCTAGGTGAAGAATCTCTCCAGGAGGAAGATGGAAAAGTTGTCTCCGACCCTACTCGTTTCCCCATACCAGAAAACTCATTAGCAGGTGAAAATGTGGACGCGTTAGAGATTAAGCAGTTTACATCTCAGCATAATAATATGCTTCAGGAAGCACTTAAAGATGCGATGGAAACCGGGTATTAGTGAGAGTTTTAAAAGCAAAAATAAAAGCCCTGCCCTCTTCTCGGGGTGCTCCTAAACACTCATTTCTTAGTCCAGCTTCCCTTGTCGCCCAGCCAAATAAATAAGACCACCAGAGCTGCAAGACTATGACACTTGTTAGGATAAGTTCTGGAAAATGGGTGAGTAAAAGGATTGTTAGTACAAGTCTGGGTTGAGGACTTACCTGCTTTGATCCCAGTTGGCCGCGAAAAGGACTAGAATCTTCCTGCCGTAGTGGTCCAGATTGGCCAGGCCCCCCGGGAAGCCGTCCTTCAGGGCCTGCTTGATGCCGGGGTCGGTGGCCTTGAAGCTTTTGAACATGTCCAGGTTCTGCTGCCGGTACTCAAAGTACTGGGCCAAGAGGCGGAAGGCCTCAAAGTGATGAAACTTCCTGGCCCGCAAAAAGCGTAAGATGAACGCATCGTCCGTGCGCAGGAAGCCAATGTCCGGCCTGGTGATGACCATGTCCCTCACCTCCTGGATGTCCTGGTGCAGGGTGTCGGGGTTCTCGTTCAGCTCCAGGCGGGCCTTCTCCAGGGTCTCGGGGGAGAGGCCAGCCTGTAAATGAGTCATCGTTCCGCTGGCCGGCGCCTTCGCTTGGAAGCTGGGGCTCACCGTCCCACAGCAAGCCTGCCCGGCCACCTCCACCCCGGGGCCCCCAGGCCTGGCAGCCGCCGGCTTCCTCTCCTTCACAGGAAATGATCTCCTCGCGTCCAATCAAGGACCCTGTTGCTCCTGCTCTCCCACAGCCCGGGAGCGGGGGTCCAAACTTGCGTCCCCGCCGCCCGGCACCGCGCCCGTGCGCCCCGCTTCCCGCCGCGGACCGACCCG